TTTTTTTAGTATTTAGTATTCTATTAATCAACGTGGATAGGGAACCGTAAAATATCTAGATATTAAAATACATAGTTTCGAAATCTGATATTTGAAATCGATATCGGATTCAGATACGGTACTCAGAAAAAGCGATACGACCCATCCCTAGTTAGACAGTTGAAATGTTCACAGATGATGTATTTCTGTTGCCGCTATAACAAATAATACTAAAAAACAGTTAAAAAAATATTTAAGTGGGGCTCCCAGACAACGCACATGATTTGTTTCTGTTTTTATAGACAATGGTACGGAACCCTTCGTACGCGAGTGCGACTCACACTTGGCTGGTTTTTATACATTATTACAGTTTGTACACTTTTTATTAAGGCTGTCATCGACTAAAAACTCTAATTAACGTGTAAAATAAATTAAATAGCTAACAAAGGTATGTGGACAAATTGGTTCAGAATTTTAATTTGTTTAGGCTTATAGTTTAATATCAAGTCCTGATAATTCGCTTTAATATTTCGTATTTCCTCAGCTCTCCTCTATAGCCTGACAGCTTCTTATGGTTAATAGTCGAGTACGTCGCGCGCTCTCAAGACTTAAGCTCCGTCGAACGGCCCAGTGTCGACAAGTAAGCTGTGCACGCACGTGAAATATGGCTCTGTACCTTTTCGAAACCGAATAAGCTTGCGTAGGGGGTAATACCCTCCTGGGTTCGAGGTGAAAGTTCTTCAAGATTCTCTGAGGCGGCGAAAGGTTTACTTTATTCTATTATTTCGCTGAAGCAAATTAGTTTTGATTAAAAAGAATTTTATCATATTTCGTCGAACTCTGTATTGCCACCAAACAGGATGTCTAGTTATTGATAGTACTTTTAATATACTTTTATTTAGCTGTACATTCGTGTAAGTTTTAGCCGATTAGTGTGGTTGCTTAATCCCAATTCAACTTTGAAAAAAAAAAGTCTTTGAGGTGAATTTAATTGTTGAGAAAACAAGAGAATCGTGAGTTGCCTTTAACGAGCTAGGTTAAATATGCAATAATACAACGTACTTTCAATTTATAGTACTCAAAAAATTGCCATCAAAATTAAATGTTTGTAAGATTTATCAGTTTCGAATATCGCGTAGAAGTGGGATCAAAGATTGAAGTGTTGTTATTATGTTATTACGACCCGAATCATTACGACGACCTGAACTACTGGAAAACTATTGTGTGATGAGCATAGTGTCTGGGTGTTTATACAGCGTGTCGTTACCACGCCAATCGCGCCACAGCCTCAAGTCTCTTCTTCTAATGGTATGTTTTGTCTCTTTTAAATTCATTCAACCCATTCATATGCTTTGTGACCATTACAAATGATGTTTACGTTACGCTTTTATAGGTAAAGGTGTTCTAAAATTCTTTGTTTTGGAAAATTTAATAACTGTAAATATTGCTGTTTAAAGAATTTAAATGTTTAATGCAACTTTAAAAAGTTATCCCGTATATGTGTGTTCATTTATTGTCGCGATGGTAACGACACGCTGTATATGTATAATATGTATTTATTTACAAAAGAAAAATATGTTTAAGTATGTCTATCAGTTTTCCAGTACCCATAGTACAAGCATTGCTTAGTTTGGGACTAGAGAACGTTGTGTATAAAGAATGTGTCCTAAAATATTTATTTATTTATTTTTCATTATATTTATTCGTTTATTTCATCATCATCAGCCGCAAGACGTCCACTGTTGAACATAGGCCTCCCCCTTAGAATGCCACAAGGAACGACACTTTGCCATTTGCACCCAACGGTTGCCCGCGACTCTTATGATGTCGTCGCCACTCGAAAACCCTTTACTCTCCATCGGTTATCAGTTCTTTGAACGATGTGGCCTGATTCGTTTATTTATGTTTATTAAAACTTACTATTAAGAGGAGCATATCTTACCGACTTTTTGAATGTCCATGGGCGGCGGTAATCGCTTATCATCAGGTAACCCGCTTGCTCGTTTGCCTCCTATTTCCATTAAAAAAAACTTTTATCTAACTGTTTTAACTAATAGACTATTTATATTTTCACTGCTGATAAATCTTAATAAATAAATTAAAAAAATAATACTTTACTCATTCCAGATCAAATTCCATTATCAAGATAACGTATGGTTACAATAATCAATGAAGTCTAGTCGTAAACAATTCGCTAACATATTCTTCGCAATTAGAGGATACAAGATAAATACGGATGAAAAGATCGTCACCCGTAATTTGGTTACGTTTTCAAGTAATACTGCACAATTGAGGAGATAGAAAAATTATAAGCGACATTAAAACGAAAATCACCGCAGTGACTAAATGACAACACCGAGTGGAGTGCAGTCATTAACCTTCGCTTAATCAATCCGCTACTCAACTGGTCCAATTAAGTGTCCGCGCGATTTGGGTCCAATCTGTATTTATAGAGGTCCCGCTTGGAACTATTAACGCGGAGAACTCATTTCAAAATGAACTCGGTAAACGAAAAGTTAATCTAACAGATAAATGAAAACCGTGACCCTTGATAATTGGAACCATCCTTTCAAGTATATAGAAATATTTAGGGCATCATTCGTGCTATACCGCGATAGTTTATTAAATTTTGTGTTAAAAATAAACACTTACAATATAATTTGTAACAAAAAAAAACCGACTTCAACCCGAAATTAAAAAACATTGATGCGTATAACATTTGAGGATTGCCCTAATTGAGAATCATAAAAATCGGTTCATAAGCCAAGAAGTTATCCGCGAACACACATAAAAAAAAAAAAAATATATACGGTCGAATTGAGAAACCTCCTCTTTTTTGAAGTCGGTTAATAAAAATTAGAATAGACTTTCTAGTCAAATTAGTCATCCATAACGCGAAAATTATTCATAAATTTTATAAATCAGCCGTTAAACTTAAAAATCCTTCCTTCCTCGGTCCTTTTAATTCGTAATATACAATTATTTTTCTGTGAAGATGACATATTTTTTATTATAAGGTGGCCGTCGCTTAACATCACACGAACCGCCAGCTAAACGAGCTCGTGGTTCACCTGATGTTAAGTTATGTTTCAAGAACAAACAGAAACAACAGCCAGATCAGGTATCAAATCTATTCAAGTGGCATTCTTGGACAGCGAAGCTTTTATCAATTTCGAAATAATATTAATTCGGTTAAAAGATAAATACACCTTGAAGTCATGCCAGTATTTCATCTGGTAGTAAACTTTTTCATCAGCCTTTATCATCCGGCTGCCCCAAAGGAACATTATTCATACTTATTTCTTTGGCACGCTGCACCCAAAACTGCTAGATAGTTTTTGACAAACGAAGTCCTTAGATCATATTCATTTTTGAAGTAACTTAAGTATTATGTTTAAATGACTTTTATACAGTCGGTTTTTTGAAGTTATACTTCTTTTGGCGCCTTTGGAATAAATTACGAGGGTAAAATTTTTAGGATCCGCGCGCATAGCGATCCCCAAAAAGCGACATGATGAAGTTGATTACAAAGCGACTAACTTCAAGATTTTATTTTAACTCTTATTCTTCTTTTGAAGTCAAATTACGAGTAGGTACTTAGATCTCGTTCGACCTGTATTTGGCCACATCCACCGTCGTGTAATTGGCTTCAAGCAGGCGCAAAATGGCTAAAAAACTATTTACCTACAATTCAATGTTATTTAATTAAACCGTTGTCAATTGCGTTTAATGTCTTTTTCACAAACAAAGTGTCACGCTAAAGAAGTATAACACTTATATAGAATATATATACTTTTAAATAATACGTTTTCGCTCCCTTTAAAGCTTTTACGATATCGCCGTAGAAGGTTGTAAAACACGCTCAAGTAGTAATTCAAGTCCCTTTTGTAAACATCGGACGCTAGGGATTCGTGCGGGCTCTTCTTTCTGAAGTTTTCAGAGTAAATTCACTGAGCCGAGTAAAATCACATTCCTCTGTAATGCAGATTTTCACTTTGAATTTTCAGTTGAAAATAGCTGGCCGATGTTTATGTGTAGGTAGAGGTAATCAGTAGATAGAGATAGATAGAGTAGCTGTTCTTCCTCTTTCATTGAGTATTTCAGGAGTGCATATCCTGCTAATAGAGGAACCCTTACCAAACAATGTATTGAATAGATTATAATTTTTTCAGATATATGTATATGTATAGATAGATTTGTAAGAATATTACATATTTTTATTTTATATGATTAAACATGTTGTTAGTATAACAGATAAAGTAATTATTCTTCCATTTTTAGTATCATGCTGCTTATAAAGGAACCCTTACCGATAAATGTATTAAGAAGATTATATATTTATAGTTATAAAATGAAAAAAACAAATATTTTCGTGTGCCCCTTGTGAAGTTATTCACATACATTTGAAAATATCCCAACCATCTAAAAAAAAGAGAAAGAAAAAAATATACAACTTCACCAAATGATAAATCTATAAAACTTGTGTGATAATAAAACTTAAATCATTAGAATAATTTTACTTATAGCGATCAGTTTAATATTTAAAACTTATTTAGGTACTTTTACTAATATACAACGTGATCAACTTTTGTTGCATATTTGATCCTTTGGTTATATGGTTTTAATATCCGCTTTAAGTTTTGGAAACAAGAAAGCAATTCATATTTAATTGTTTTATATTATCTTCGTTTTACGTTCTGCAAGTCATCTACGGATTCTGTGTCATTATAATTTCAATAGGTTTCTTTTTCTTTTTGTTACAGATCCAAGGAAACCGGAAACTGTGAGAGAAGATTTAAAAAATAATAGTGTTATATAATTGAAAAAAAAATTAAACAACCCTGACAATAATAGAAGCCAAATTAACTTTATTATTTACCGCCTAGAAGTAGTTTCCATATGTGAACTGAAAAACATATTGTCAAAAGTATCTCATTAAGGCATATATCTTTAATTCACCCTAGTTATATTTAGAAAAAAAAAATTATAAACTTGACCTAGCTTCCGGTATTGCTGTAAAAATGAGCTTCGACTCGACATCGTCTAAGAAGTTGAACTTCGACAAAGCTAACAATTTCATGAGGCAATTCAGAGATCCGGATTCGAGGGAGCTGAAGAAGCTATCCGCCAACCAGTTTATGGAGGTCTGGAGCCATTACGACAGAGACGGTAAGTGCACTGTCTTGTATTTTTTCAAGCCAAAAGTTATCAAACGAGCAGGAGGTTGACCTGATGTTAAGTTCTTACCCCAGCCCATAGACATCTGCAACACCTCAGGGGTTTTAGACTATCAATAATTCAATAATTCGTGAAATTGCTTTCAAGACGTATTGTTTTTTAAGGAATTTATCGAAATGCAATGCTGGATTATTTTCAATGTGGTCGTATCAGTCATCGCAGTTGCCTTTTCAGATAAATAAAATTGGAGTGTCTGTTTGGAATATTAAAATAACCGCTTTTAACTAAATGCATATGGATGATACGGTTGATATACCAAAATAACATTTTTTACAATGTCTGTCTGTCTGTTTGTCCCGTATAATCTCTGAAACGGCTAGACCGATTTGGACGGGACTTTCACCGGCAGATAGTTGATGTAATAAGGAGTAACTTAGGCTATTTTTATTTTAGATTATTTTTAGTTTTAAATTCCACGCGGACGAAGTCACGGGCACAGCTAGTCTTGAATAATAATGGTGAGAATTACAATACATTTTATACTCTCAACGGTGTCTTTAACTAATGAGATAATTTAATTATTCGCATTGTTAGTACATCACCCCGATACCGAGAATACATTTAACGCCCCTTGTATATGTTACTTTACTCTGTATTATTCAAAGCAAATGTAGAGATTTCAATTACGACAAACTAAACATAGTAATAATGAACTCTCATTTGGAATTTTAATGAATATGCTTCTCAATACAGTCTCCAACAACATTCGCTTTCAAAGTCAGTGGAAACATCTTCAAGGTCCCAAGCGCGAGATTTCTCAGAATAACAAAGTACTTTTCAAAGAAAAACATTCAAATTGTAGACATACATAACAGTCACGATTATTGGCTACATTTGAATAAAATAAACACTTCAGTAACATCGTGAAATTTTATTTTACATAACAAAAATAGTCAATAAAAAATAGCCAGAAGAGTGCGGTGACGAGTATGACTAACTAAAATACAATTTCACGCATGCATACATCAGTCGACGCTAACAGAAAATTGTGTGTTCATTTGACGCTATAAACTTATTCCCCGACGCAAATGGGATGTAGCGAGCGAAGCTAGTGCCAGTGTTTATCTTGAATAACATTTGCTACAACCGTGAAGAGCCGTGATAGCTCAAGAGCCGTGTTAGCTCAGTGTTTCGGGCGCTCGCCTTTAGTTTTAATATACTCAAGCAACCTGAGTTCAATCCAAGGTGCCGGCACCAATGAAATTGTTAATTTCAAGTGTTGAATTATCACGCGATATGTGAAGTCCGCCAATTAACAGTGGGGCCGCGTGGTGGACTATGCCCTGATACTCTCTATAGACAGAGGAGGCATTTGCCCAGCAGTGGGACAGTTATAGGCTGTGTTACTTTACATTAATTGTAGGATAACAACACCTTGATGTTCTATTTTGTACTAGAGTAGTTATGTTTAAGGCATCCCTTTCTATTGTAATAATCAAAAAGAAACTTTTGCAAACTTTTGTCTGTTGGTAAAAGGGTAAAGTTAGCCTGCTCTCCGAACTATACTTATGGAATACTTTATAACCGTGAAAGTGCACTTTCGTAATTTTCTATTTAAATTGACATTTTGTTATGCGATTTAATGAGGTTGCTTTATATTGAGGACCTCCTGGTTCCTGAACTTGAATATTAACAACTATTATAACGACAAACAGCACTAGTGGTTATGTCACCGTCCGGGAAAGTAGGTGCCCGCTGCTCGTCATATCCGGTAAAGTGCGGATGATAACGTCATGTCCGGTACAGAGTTGCCAGCTACAATACATTTATGAAAATTAAACGTCGTAAAACCTTTATCGTCCTGAATTATTTATACAAAAAATCTTTTAAGGTGATCTCAATCAATTCGATATAAGTGTGTGGGTGCGTTGTTTTATTTTTTAATTCTAACACATTTTTTTTGTAAGTTTATCTAAAAAAAGCCCATTTATGTTTCATCTAGAGATGGCACTGTAAAAATTTCTTGTATATATTAAGTAACCCTTTCTCGCGGCTTCGCTCAAGTGGTTTTTCATTTTTTTTGTTTAGTAGATCATACGGTGGTAGGGCCACGCAGCTGCCTCGGCTGTTCCACGAGTGGGCAGGCTCATCCGGGTAAGTACCACGACCTCACAGAAGACCGGCGTAAAGTGGAAGTATATAATACTTTCACGTTTCGTCTGGTGAGTGAGGTGGCCGGATCCCAATTTTCAAAAGGTTGTCAAGATGTGTTGACCTGTGTGTGCCATGTGGAACCCTCGGGTGTAGCAGATCTCCATGGGCGTCGGTATTAACTTAACATCAGGTGAACCAGGTCTGCTCGTTAGGCAACTTGTCACATAACAAAAAAAAGACAGCATCAAATAAAAGGCTACAATTAAACTGGTGAATTGTTACACGCTGAAATAAAAACTATTAGGAATATTTGTCGGTATTAACTTAACATCAGGTGAACCAGGTCTGCTCGTTTGGCAACTTGTCACATAACAAAAAAAAGACAGCATCAAATAAAAGGCTACAATTAAACTTGTGAATTGTTACACGCTGAAATAAAAATTATTAGGAATATTTGTCATAAACTATCTATCTCTATGAAGTAATCATAAAGATCCGTTGCCCTGCTATATTCGCGATAGAGTTTTAAACCTACAAGCCACTCAAGTTTGGAATTAAGGATATATATTTAAGTACAGATTTTACGAACAATCATGTAAACATAATTCTGGACTAATTGTCGCTATTATACCTAACTCTCATTAGTCTATTGTCTTTGCCAAATTTTCCCAACGCCAAAGACCATTAGGACTGGCCGTTCAAACTTGCCCGAAGCACTTTGCATAAGCGCTCAACATTCTGCCGCGTAGAAATTAGGTAAGCACCTTTACGCTCGCTTAATTTGCCAGGCGGGCTACGGAAGCTGTTGGAGTTCCGACCGCACAGAAATTCCGTGTGCAAATTTAATTATATTCGACACTAAGAGCTCGTCCGCACGAGGCAATCCAATGAATAATTCCACGGGAACAGAGTCGTTAAAACTCCTGGTGTTAATTGGGACGCGTGGATTTGTGGTCGGAGCGCATTGTTACAATTGTACCCATTTGATTTCTGTCTACTGACAATTTTCAGTGTCGAACTTTAATGTTTCCTATCGGAATCTATTTATCGTACCTTATATTAAGATAAAGTTCAATCCTGGTGGTTGCTTAACGTGAAAATATAAACCGTGATGTCGGCTGTTTTTGGGTATTTATCAGAGTCGTCATTATTGGTGAGTAGTTTAATGACGAGTTAGATGTTACTCTTATCATCATCTTTTAGGTACTACTATACGTGATTTTTCTACCCGATTTCAATTAGTCATTCGTTCTGCTACGTAATGGACTTCTCTTTCCTGTTGCCTTTTCTTCTACTCCTGATACTTCCATTCTTCACATCTGGAAACCACCATTACTAGAGTTTTCCCAAAAAATTTAGTATTCGCAACTGTACAGGAAATAGGGAAACCTATCGTCTGTTATGACCTGCTTCATAATTAATAGTTCAATAAGTTTGCACGTAATTAATGGGAAGGAGACCTAACTCCACGCTGGTATAATTATTTTCTATTTCATTAATCAAATCATTGTCTGGAGTTGTGTAAACATTAGTATACATTTTAATTTTCTCTGTTTTAATTAACCAAGTATAGGTGCAAATAGCAACTGCCTTCACAATATCCCATTGGAGGCCACTCAATTCAGTACCCAGACCTCGTATGCCACTTTGGCTATCGCTAACTTTCCAATCTATCACTATTAAATAGAGTCGACGCTCAATGAAAATGCACAATCACGCAGTTACGCCACTAGTTTTGTTGTCAGCTTGAGTTTGCATTAAATGTCTTTTCAGTTTGTTATTTTTACAAAAATTTTATGATTTGAGTTTATTCACATCATCATTACTTTTTATATATGCGAAGGTGGCAAGCGAGCTGGCGTTTCACCTGATGTTAAGTGATAACCGCCGCCCATGGACATTTGCAACACCCGTAGGGTTACAGATGCGTTGATACCGCTTAAAAGAGTGAGCGCTTCCTGCCCATATTGGGTGATAATCCAATAAAATTTAAGATGACACTCGTAAAAACACGATTTCTGGACGATGACAAATAATTTTCACCGCCTTTTAACTTTGCGATGACATATAATTATTATTATTGATATTAGTCTATTGCGGGATGTTGTAAGCTTGCGCTTCGAGGAGCTTAGGAGTCAACAAACCGCACTTTAGTCATGGTGCGTGTCCGAATAGCTTTGCAGAGAGCAGACGCTGCAATTAATATAATGGTAGAAGACAGGAAAGCTTTCAGCACTACGTGAAATGAATGCCTCGAAAGGCGGACTGTGTAATTTTGTAATATCTACTGGAAACATTACGGATGGATATACACTATTTCGAAGAGTCACCAAGTAAAGGCGTTCCTTAGAGCAATTTTTTGTAGATCATAAATTTGTGTCAGACACAGATCTCTCGAAGGAAATCGTCCGAGTCAACAAAATCACTTTTTTAGAATAAATAAATTTTGCGTTCGTTCTTTCCGAAGAAAGTATAACTTATCACCCCATTTTCGTAAGTGCTTTTTACATTTAAAATTCCAAACGAATCAAGTGACATTCTTCATTGCCTTCTTTCCTTTAGAGGATGATGACAATTATTCGAAAATAGAAAATTGAAGAATTTAAATTTCATTTAATGTTTTTCCTGATATTTTTTCATTTATCTGCCGTATTTTTCCGCTCTCGTCTACATACCTACTATTTTTAAGTTACTTCCATTTTATTTTTCATTTCATTCTAAGCAGCCATTACGATGACAGAACCGTTTATATCGGCACCAGGAGAGTACTTATAAAGTTTCAAATTGAAAAGTTTTATACATTTTCAAAAAAAATTTTATGGTTACTTCATCACTAC